AATCCTCTACCCCAAGTCATAAACAGCCCGGGTAACCCTACAGCCCCTGAGCTGTAAGTGCTGGCTTTGCTCGGGGAAAGGGCCTGGGAGAGGCATCAAGTCTGAGCAGAATGACTGCGTTCCCCCCTGGGGTCTGGTGGGCGGGGGGGGGGGGCGGGCAGTGATCCTGTGCCAGGCAGCACGGCCCACCCAGGTCGTGGCAGACGGGGCTGTGACCCCACGTGGGCTCTGAACACAGAGACGAGGTGGCGGGGCGCGTGGCCCAGGCTGCAGGCTTCATCATAAACACCTCTGCTCCGCCACCTGGCAGACCACCTCACCGAGCAAACACTTGCAGGCTCCCGTGGGACCCTGCTGGGCAGTCTGGATTCCTCTTCCACTTCCTCCCTCCCTCCTTGTCTTCCAGACTGACCCTCCACTCATGCCAGGCCTCCACACCCTCCTTGCCTCTGTTTAAAATGTCTCCTTCTCATCTATCTACATGGTCCTGGGCTTCTAACAAGGTCCAAGTCAAAAGCTGCCTCTTCCTTGAAGCTCCTCCAGATTTCCACCCAGAATTAAACGATTTCTTCCCCATCCCTGACGACCCGTTTGGAAGGCACGTTAGAACAAATCACAGGCCGCTGTGCTTTAGTGCTCACCGTCCAGGTCTGTCACTCCACCCGTGAGTCTCGGGGTCTGTGGGGTCTGTCCCTCCTCTCTGCAATCCTGCCCAGCACTACTTCCCACCTGAACAGGTCCTCAGCCCCCTTGGTGAAGACTCAGTCTCTTTCAAGATTTTTCATCAGTGCAACACTGCCAGCTAGCATTTGACGAGCACTTACCGTGTCTGGCCAAAGTCAAAGCATTTTATGGGCAGTGACGCATGTCCCCCATAACAACCCTATAAAGTAAGTACTAGAAGTCCCCCACTTTACAGCTGAGGCAGCTGAGGCACAGAGATACTGAGTAACCTGCTCAGAGCCACACAGCCAGTACGCGGCGAAGTCTGGATTCAACTCTCAACAGTCTGGGTCCAGAGTCTGTGCTCTTTAACCTCCGGTTCCTCCTCTCAAAGTGGTTGTGAGCACAGCTTCTGACTGGTGGGTGTGACTCAGGGCTCCACCTTCCCTGTGTGACGTTGACAAAGCTGCTTATGTGACTTCACACATGAAATGGGGCAACAATAGTACCTGTATCCCAGTCCCGCTATGAGTGAAGGAATGTGTGTGAAAAAGCCTTCCACAGCACGTGCACACAGAGCGTGCTCAAAGTGCACCACGTTCCCATTCCTGCCGTGGCCACTGACCTTGCAGAATAAGCTTGGTGTCAGCTTGCAGGCCGAGGCACTGAGAGCCAGTCACAGGGAAGTGCTCTGTGAAGGACCCATGTGCGTGAGCCCAGGTGCAAGGGCCACCCTGCCCAGGACCCTGGCAAGGCCAGACTGTGTGGCCTGAGGCGTGGGGAGGTCAGGGCCAGCACCGCCTCCTGGCACCTCCCAGGCTTACCAACCCCAGCACCCCAGGAACAACCCCCACCCCCAATCTCCCAGAGCCATGAGGGTGAAATTCCAACAGCAGAAAACAGATAAGCCAAAAAAATACCCTGGAGACAAGAGGCTTGCGGTCAGAGGCCCAGAGTGACAAGAGTCCTTTATGTCCTGTATGAAAGGAAACAGCCCCCACCCCCAACCACCGTCGCGCAAGGTCTGCCCTGCAGACAGAAGATTTGCAGTGTGGGCTGTAACTTCCTCAAAAGACGTATGTGTACAGAGAAGGCCTGGAGGTAACAAGCAAGAGTAAGAAGAGTTACGTTCGGTGTGGCATAGAAGTGAGTGTCTGTGTGTCTGTGTGTCTGTGTGTGTGTGTGTGTGTGTGCGCGCGCGCTTGTCTGTTTCTGGGACATTCTTTAACGGCTTTATATCCCCTCACCCCCCAAACCCCGACAAAAAACCCTGGAGGAAACAATGGTGGTTCAGACACGTGTGCTGCGTCTGCCTGCCCAGCCCCTGTTCCTGTCTTCTGGGCAAACAAGACCCCTTTCCCTTCTCTGCCACCCTGGGCTGCTTGGGGCTCCCAGGTTGGGCCTGTGACCTGGCCCTGGCCTTTCAGAGCACAGATGCCCTGGGCCATGAGGGTGGCTCAGAGGGGGCGGGAGACCCCGGGCAGTCCCCTGAGACCAACTTCAGGGCTGCTGTTTACATAGTTGGGGGTGGCGTAAGCCTCGGGCTGCTGGTGGCCACGGGGGAGGACAGAGACTAGGTCAGCCCAGGAGCTGGCTAAGAGGCGGTGAGGAGAGGGTGGCACTGGTGAAATTTGGGCTTCTGGATGCAGGTACACCTGAGATTTTCCTCTCAATGGCGGTAAGGACGTGGGCTCTGGGACCAGCCTGCCCAGGCCAAATCTGGGTTCTGCTGCTTCCCAGTAGCGGGACCCGTTTGAGTCTGCCTCATATTCTTCATCTGCAAAGTGGGGATAAGGACACCTACTCGAGGTTGTTGTGAGGGTTCACTGAGTCAATACACATAAAGCAAACGCAAGCACTAAGTCGGTTTTGGTTATTGTCAATATCCAGCTGGGTTTCTGCCATGTGCAGCTGACAGAGTCCTCACTGCTTCAGGAGCCACAGCTGGGGATGCCCTCCAAGGCTGGCACGGAGGGGACCTGGACAAGTGAACTATCCACAGGGCGAGAACTACAGCCATCAGTCCATGTCCACTCAGCCACAGCCCCTCGGCCCATCACCCATAAAACGAGCCGGTTCTGACCAGGCGGTGTGTCCTCTGGGACCCTCACCCCCACTAGGCAAGGACCCACACTAGCCGCCCTGGGTGCTCAGGTCCCTGATGAGCCTGGACGAGGTGTGTCCACTGACCGCGTCACGGCTTCTTCACTGACCTCCTGGTCTCACCTGGAAGAACGCCACGGACTCACTGTCCTGGCTGGCCTGCCACACCCTGGGCAACTGACACCTGCCCTGCTCAGCTCATAGCAGCCGTGCCCCCACCACGGGCTCCCCACGTGCGCTGGGCTTGCTCCAAACGGCTGAGCCTTCCAGAACTTGCAGCAACCTGACACCTTCCCACCAACAGACACCCCTGGTAGGGTCCACACCAAGAGCATCGCACAGTTAGTTGCAGGAACGACCACTATTTATTGAGCGCGGGACAAGGGTTCCTGGACCACGGAAAGCCAAAGCAAAGCTGAGCCCTCGCCAAGGACGTGCCCCGCCCGCTCAGGGAGCACACTCCATCTGCAGAGGCTGCTGCCATTGCGCAGAAACAAGCCCAGACCTGCGGCCCTTTCCGCCCAGCTGTACCTGCGGACCTGCTGCCCTGGCTGGCTGCTGGCCGACCCCCTCCCCACCGCCCACCCAGGAGCCTCTTGGTGCCTAACAAACTGCCCTGAAGCTTAGCAGCTTGAAACAACACACACTGATTGTCCCACACAGTTTCCCAGGGGCAGGGACCTGGAGCCGCTGAGCGGGGTGGCTCTGCTCGGGGCCTCTTACGAGGATGCAGTCAGGCTGTGGGCAGGGCTGCAGCCACCTGAAGGCTTGTCTGGGGCTGAGGGACTGGCTCCCGAGACTTCGCCGTATTCCGCTGTTCACAGACCAGCCCCCCGCCAAGTGGAAGGGGCCCCCCAGGGCGTGAAGAGCAGGAGGGCGTCCTCGGGGCCATCCGGGAGGCCACCGCGCCCACCCCCAGGAAGCCTTGTCATCAGAAAAGGGGGCAGGGAGGAGTGCGACTCAGGAAGAGACGTCAGCAGGGCGCGAGGCGACAGCGGTACTTCGGTCACCTGCACACTCACCCGGGAGGCTGGCCTCTCACAGCCGGCTGACCACAGGCCTGGACGGCGCTGGCGC